CCCACCGCTCTATCACACTATCTCTCTCTCTCTACCCACTCACCCACCGCTCTATCACACTATCTCTCTCTACCCACTCACCCACCGCCCTATCACACTATCTGCACAGGGTGTGCCGTTTATTTCATAGATACCGGGGTTTGTCCACCAGGTGGCGCGTGCATACGGGTACCCGCTAACCTCATGCTTGCGGTACAGGTTTATTTCAAAGGTTGCGGTCTTCGGCCTTGCCAAAGGTCTGAGCTATCGTGGCTCCCCCTGCATCGTGCGTAGTCTTGCGAGAGATAACATAGCGATACAATTAAATTAATTAATTAATAATTATCTACATGGTAGATAGTAGGAATCTCCTGTAGGAATGTGTAGATGCAAGTAGATTACGTCATATACAGTGTGGACCTCGGCTGTGCCACCAGGGGTCGCTGCCAGCGGCACCAGAGATTGTTGTGATTCTCTTAATATAATGATATTTATTCGATCTTATGATCAATTGGTTTTCTGTTGAATTCGAGTATAAATATATTCAGTTACACTTAATTTTAATGATGAATGATCTATGTGTAACTACGTGTTAGGCGGATATATCTATATATTTTTATATTATGTAATTATGTGACGTATTTAACGCACGGCATGTTTTTTATATTGCCTACCGTAGCTGTAGGAGAATGCGACATTAAACAAATAATTGTTTTTTTTGCGACAATTAAGCTTGCATCCCGATTAACAACCCACATATTAAAGTAACTCAGCTACTACTGCCTGCGAAATGACTACTAACCAAGCTAACTGAAAAACATAGCCTGTCCCCGTCGTTCACTCCTCTTTCACACCCGTAGGCCGCCGAGCAGGAACCACGTGCATGCGGCGCTGCCGGCGCCAGACAAGCCGCTGGCGCTCCCTGCCGGTGACAACCTCAATCCAGTCGTAGAGGTTGAACAGCAGCAGAAGCGATTCGATTCGACGGGCATGTTCCACTGGTGTCCCGACCGACCGATTGAGGAGTGCATCCTGGTACGTACCTAGTGGCCAATCCACACATCTTCACTGCAGCCTAATCCGTACTCTTACTGCAGCCCAGTCCATACCCACACTGTAGACCTGTCTCTCCTCTTCTCTCTTTCTATCTCTTTCTCGCTCTCGCACTCTCTTTCTCTCTTTCGCCTTCTATCCCACTCTTTCTCCTACTCTCGCTCTCGCTCTCTCTCTCTCTCTCTCTCGTTCGCCTTATATCCGTCTCTTTCTCCTCTTCTCGCTCTCGCTCTCTCTGTCTCTCTCTCTCTCATCTCTCTTTCTCTCTGCGCCCTCAGGACCGCAACCAGGCGCCATGACAGTGCTGAACGGTCTGACCTGTCTCTCCCTCTTCTCTCTTCTATCTCTTTCTTCAGCTCGTCGCACTCTCTCTTCTCTCTTTCGCCTTCTATCGCCTCTTTCTCCTACGTTGGTTTTCCCTCTCTCTCGCTCTCGCTCTCTCTCTCTCATCTCTCTCTCTTCTCTCTCCTCCGTCTCTTCTCTCTGTCTCTTCTCTACTTCTATCTCTCTTTCTCCTTCTGTGCGCCCTCAGACCGCAAACCAAGGCCGGCCATGACAGTGCTGAATCGGTCACAGTGGCGTATGTCTATTCGCCGAGCCGGACTCGCCGCTGATTGGTCTACGGAACCTCGTCATGCCGCTGCGCGCCTCCAACTTTCACTACCACGAGCTGAAGCACGTTGTCATACTGGGAAACCTCGAACTACAATCAAGCGCGAAGTGGCGCAAACCTTCACAAATCTGCCCAATGATCCTCTAAATACTAGAGGTACGTACACTGTGTGTGACGGTGTGTGTGTGACGTGTGTGTGTGTGTGTGTGTGTGTGTGTGTGTGTGTGTGTGTGTGTGTGTGTGGTGTGTGCGTGTGTGGTGGACGTGTGTGTGACGCCTGTGATGTGTGTGTGTGTGTGTGTGCTGTGTGTGTGTGTGTGTGTGTGTGTGTGTGTACTTGTGTGTGTGTGTGTCTGTGACGTGTGTGTGTGATTGTGTGTGTGTGTGACGTGTGTGTGACGTGTGTGTGACGTGTGTGTCAGGCATTTGTGTGACGTGTGATTGTGTGATCGTGTGTGCTGACGTTGTGTGACGTGTGCTGTGTGAACGTGTGTGTGACGTGTGTGTGACGTGTGTGTGACGTGTGTGCGTGACGTGTGTGTGACGTGTGTGTGACGTGTCTGTTACGTGTGTTACTTGTGTGTGAGCGTGTGTGTGAACGTGTGTGCTGACGTGTGTGTGACGTGTGTGTGAGCGTGTGTGTGACGTGTGTGTGACGTCTGTGTGACGTGTGTCTGTGACGTGTCTGTGTGACGTGTGTGTGACGTGTGTCTGTGACGTGTGTGTAACGTGTGTGTGACGTCTGTGTGACGTGGCTGTGACGTCTGTGTGACGTGTGTTTCAGGGCTCGCCGCTCAGCGCGGCCGACCTGCGCTGCCGGTGAAACGTCCAACCATGTGTGACATGTGGACACGTGCTGGACGTGCGTGTAACGTGTGTTGTGACGTTGTGTCTGTGCAACGTGTCTTGTGACGTCTGTGTGACGTGTGTTTCAGGGCTCACCGCTCAGCCGCGCCGACCTGCGCGCCGTGAACGTCAACCTGTGTGACATGTGACACGTCTGTGACGTGTGTGTAACGTGTGTGTGACGTGTGTCTGTGACGTGTCTGTGACGTCTGTGTGACGTGTGTTTCAGGGCTCACGCGCTCAGCCGCCGCCGACCTTGCCGCCGTGATACGTAAACTCTGTGTGACCATGTGACGATCACTGTCGGCGAAGGTCGCAGGAATCGAAGGAACGCGACGCTAAATAGCCGACAAAGAAGCCAATCCTCGCCTCGCTCAGCATCAAGGGCCAGTTGCACTTTCTGACGACAACGCTGCCTTCTGCAAGGGACAAGGTGCGTCGCCGTGCCGCGGGGTGGGTGCGGTGCGCGGCGTGTGGCGCAGGCGATAGAGATGGGGTGGGTATGATGTGTAGGGGTGGAGGATAGAGGTGATGTGTGTAGATGGAGTGCTGGAGGTGGAGCGTGGGGTGTAGTTTGGGGTGTAGCTGTGGGGGTGTAGTGTGGGGGTATTAGTGTGGGTGTATAAGTGGTGGCCGGGAGTGTGGAGGTGTTGGTTTGGGTGTATGTGGGTGGAGTGTGGGGCGTGTTAGTGTGGGGTGTATCGTGTGGGGGTGGGGTGTGGGGGCGTAGTGTGGGGTGTAAAGTGGGGGGGTGTAGTGTGGAGGTGGAGTGTGGGATGATGGAGTGTGGAGGTGGAGTGTTGGGTGTAGTGTGGGGGTGTAGTTGGTGCGGGGTGTTAGTGTGGGGGTGTAGTGTGGGAGGTGTGAGTGTGGGGTGGAGTGTGGTGGTGTAGTGTGGGGTGTAGTGTGAGGGTGTAGTGGTGGGGGTAGTAGTGTGGGGTGTAGTGTGGGAGTGTAGTGGGGGTGTAGTGTGGGGGGCATGTCAGTTGTGGGAGTGGTAGTGCGGGTGTAGTGTGGGGGTCGTAGTGTGGGGGGAGTGTGGGGTGTAGTGGTGGGGTGTAGTGTGGGGTGGAGTGTGGGGGGTGTAGTGTGGGGTGTAGTGTGGGGGTGTAGTGTGGAGTGTAGTGTGGGGGTGAAAGTCGTGGAGATTGGAGTGTGGCGGGTGGAGTGTGGGGGTTGCGAGTGTGGGGGTGTAGTGGGGACGGTGTACCTGTGGGGTGTAAGTGTGGGTGTAGTGTGAGGGTGTAGTGTGAGGTGGAGTGTGGGTCTGGAGTGTTGCGGGTGGAGTGCTGGGTGTAGTGTGGGGTAGTGTGGGGGGTTGGGTGTGGGGGTGTAGTGTGGGGGTGTAGTGTGGGGGGAAGTGTGAGAGATGGAGTGTGGGGGTGGAGTGTGAGGGGTGTTAGTGGTGGAGGTGTAGTGTGGGGTGTAGTTGCGGGTGTGTGGGGGGTGTAGTGTGGGTGTAGTTTGGGTGTAGTACGGGGGTGTAGTGTGAGGGTGATAGTGGGGGGGTGTAGTGTGGGGTGTAGTGTGGGGGTGCAGTGTGGGGTGTAGTGGGGGGTGTAGTGTGGGGGTGTACGTTTTGGAAAAGCGGAGTATGCTGGTTAGGGGGGGGGGGGGTTTTTTTGTTTACGTCTATAATAAAAGTGTGTATATATTATATATATATATATAATATAATAAATAAATACTTGTTACTTAACTATAGATAGTTATAGTCCTATCGTCGACTTGCTCAGCGCGCCTGGATAGAATTGTTCATTGTTCATTAGCCATCGTTTATTGATCATTGTTCATTGTTTGTTGTTTGTTGTTTGTTGTCTAGGCGACGGCAGGGATTCCCAGCTGGGCAACCCGCTGGTGTTACAGAGGAAGGGTTCTGTACATGGTGCTAACGTTCCAATGATCACAGAACTAAGTGAGTGGCGTTGTTCTCACGTGAGGGCTATCTGTCTGGTCAATGCTGTTCTCACGTAGATATGTGACTATTGCGATCATACATGTCAATATATACACTGTCTGTATATCACTATCTATAATATATCCTAAAATATGCTAACATCTGCTAACGTCTGCCGACATCTGCCAACATCTGTCAACATCTGCCAACATCTGCCACGTCTGCTAACGTCTGCCAACATCTGCCAACATCTACCAACATCTACCAACATCTACCAACATCTACCAACATCTGTCAACATCTGCCAACATCTGCTAACGTCTGCTAACGTCTGCTAACGTCTGTTAGTGTCTGCCAACATCTGCCAACATCTACCAACATCTGCCAACGTCTGCTGACGTCTGCAAACATCTGCCAACATCTACCAACATCTTTCAACATATACCAACATCTGTCAACGTCTGCTAACGTCTGCTAACGTCTGTTAGTGTCTGCCAACGTCTGACAACATCTACCAACACCTACCAACATCTGCCAACGTCTGCTAACGTCTGCTAACGTCTGCTAACGTGATTTTTGCAGTCAACGACT